CATTTAACATGGTTGCTGTTACATTCAGCAGCACTTTATTTTGTTGCATGAGTGCTCCCTTAGCAGGGAGATTTTTGCCCATCTGCAGTGCAAACACTTTGAGTTGGTTCTCGAGGCCAACCCAAATACTGAAAAAGTCATAGTTGGAGTGATGGCTGCGGCTATAAAAAACGGTATTGTACCATCACAAATGCATAGGCCTACACAGGTCTGGCCACGAAGTATAATGTCACAATAGAACAAAAGTTTCTGGTTGAAGGGCACACACAAATGGAGTGTGACTCCATGTATAGCCTCATTTAACGGTGCATCATCAAAGATAGTCACACTCCACGTGACTACATTGTCATTTCTGAGACCACACGTCTGCATCCATCCCCATACAAGGTCACCCAGCTATTCCACAATGACTTCGTGAAGTTATCTGGAGCCTATGTCACCTACATTTGACCAGGAAGATAAACTGGAGACCCCACAGTCCATGACCTTCAGGTTCTCCAGTATCTGGCAGATGGTCGAATCTGGTACAAGTTGGATTTTGAGTCTGTCTGGGAGGATCTGCCTCAGTGAATCAGCATCTCCACATCTCCACCATTCATTAGGTCCTACTCTTTCCTGCCCAACCGCCAATTACTCTCTGGAAATTCAGTGACTTGCAGGCAATGAAACCAGTACTACAAAGGGTGGCCCACTATTACTGACAACRTCCCTCATTGACTGTGAAAACAAGTTAACACAGCACCTGAGCCAGACATTGATTAACGTTAGACAGGTACAACAACCTTTTTAATGTTAAAATTTAAAACAACTTGCCAAATGTTAGAAAATTAACACAACTTGGTTATGTTTAGGAGCGTAAACCAACATTGGTTAGGGTATTGTTGTATTTATATGTAAGAGAAAATTTGCCTAAATCAATGCATTTTCTGCCTAAGTCAGTTTTATTTGTTATGCAATCAGTGTTGTGTCTTACTTTTTTTGGACACTTGTTCACGCATGTCACCGAACTTTCTGTTACAATATTAATAAAAAATTCCAATATGCTTTCTGAAAAAATTGTTTTTTCTTGTTTTCCGAAAACGTTCAAAAATGACTTAGGCAATTATGCTATGTGGCTAACGTTATTTAAGAACACGTAAACAGATCATAACGATAAAGATCAAAGATAAACTTCTTCATTGCAGATATATTTGTGAACCTAAGTGATACACAAAGGCTGCAACAGCTTAACAAACTCAAAGAACAAAAAAAACATGGTAGCTGGAGGAGAGAGAGAGAGTACCATCTGGTTTTGGATTCCAAGCAAACAGTAGAAAATGCCACAGTATCTCATGAAACTTTGTGGTTTATAAACAGAAACGTGTCTGTATTGCATATGACATAAGTAAAGAGACTGTGTAAAGCTGAAAAGGTCCATCATTCTCTCCTTAGAAGCATTTTACTTTCTTCTGTTTCTCGGTGGGATGTCTCCGCTCTGCTTTAAAGTGAGTTGCCCACTGCAATCCTGCCCAAAGTAATACATCTGCACAGCTACATTTAGCCTGAAGTTGCCCTACTTTTAAATTAGTCAAACATTAGATAGCTGAGTGGATCTGTGTTGGGAAATTTCAGCTTGTAAAGCTGCTGTATTCTTGTCAAAAGTTTGAACACACCAAGCCATTGGCCAATAAAGTGTTTTGTCCATCCTTTTGATTGATGTTGTAACTCAGAGTGACAATTTATCAAGCGAGCATGAGTATGATTAATTACAGTAGTCTGTGTGATTCATTGACACAGAAATGCAGCCAGTATTTTAGTGGCACAAGGGGAAACGAGCGTACCCAGCATACAAATATCCATTCCTTAGTCATGTGTCATAAATTTTACTTCTGTTAGGCTTTCCCTGAAGGGCACTGGAGAGCTTAGCTGTGTGTTTCATACAGTGCAGTGCTCTGACTTATTAGGGAGCAGAATCAGGAGCGGTGCCGGTTCTGTCAAAGGAAATTGTATAATCTTTTTACTAGGGGTGTAACGAGACGCTTTCTCATGAGAATGAGACGAGATTTCAACAAAAATGATTTTAACAAAAAAAGGTTTTGTCTCTTCAGACCTCAGAAGGGGGTCAAACTCCTTTTCACAAGACGGCAAAACCTGATCAAGGGTAAACTTTTTCTAAGATTCAAGATTTGTGTGTTTTTCATTTTTATCTCATTTTAAATTTTTATCATGGAGAAAAGTTTCCCACACTGATGGACAGACAGATAACACAGTTTGAGTGGAGTTGTAGGGGAGGAAATTGTACATTTCCATTTTTTTCTTCTTTTTTTACATGGACCTCATAGTTTTATGACTCAGAGACCATCGGGTGACAATGGGAAAAAAAATTAATGCCTGACCATGAGATAATAGCCCGTAGTTAAGTTTGTGCAACAGTGTCTCTTTGTGAGAGATACAAACATTTATGGAGTCAGATTATATGAATATGTTGTTTTATTTTTACTGTTCCAAAGGTACCCCACACAGTGTTAAAAAATGATAATAAAGCTTAATGGACAAAGACAACTCCAGTCATCTCCTATGTCTTATAGCTGCAACGTATAGTGATAATTATTACTTCTTGTCTAAATGACTGAAGTATGTCATTCATTCCTATATTAAAATAAAATGAAATTAATTCAAACTTCTATGTTAACAACTTTTAATGTTATCAACAGTTTCTGCATGGAAGTGACTAGAATTATCTTGTGGCCATGCATTAACTATTTAGTGGCCACGAGTTATTGTCTCGTGGCCACACAATAAATTTTGTTCATCCAATGTCTCCAGACAGGCTCTGTATTTTTCCTTTCCTCTTAGTGGATTAAAAGTCAGCAAATTACTGTGTGAACTCGGCATTCAGTCTGTTTTAAATACATTTACGAGAGACTCTTCTTCTCAACACGTAGCTGCAGAAGCTACTCTGACAACACGCCTTGAGTGACTTGATTACACTGGTCCAAGTGCTTGATGTGTTTATTTACATATTTCTTCAGTAATAATTTAACAAAGTCATGAGACAGGTTTTTTTCCTGTTGGTGGGGGGCTGCTCACATGACAGTTTTCATCCGGATGAGTAATCTCATGATGTTTTAGTCTTGCAAGATCTCATTACACCCCTGTTTTTTCTGATGTTATCGGTTCTGTGTACAGATGTGTGCTCCTGTGGTTTCCTGTGACAGCTCAGACATGTTGTCCAAGGGACAGCTTTGGTGCATTAAAGAGCAACGAACAGCCAATTCTCCAAATGTGACAAGTCTGTAGGAAAGCTGTGACGGAATGAGAAGATGGCTGGCAAAAAGAGGAAGACAAGTGTGACAGATTGAGATTTTGCTGCGAGCTGGAAGTGATGAGCTGGAGTTAGTGGAAGGGAGGATAAACAGGATGGGGGGAGGAGCAGATGAGTTGACATTCAAGTGAGAGAAAGAAGAATGTTGCACATCAGCAAGCTAATACACTTTTTCTATATGTCAGTTGTCTAAGAAAGTTTCTAAATATATTTGAAATCTCTAGACAGGACCCTTCAACGTGCCAATAATATTAGTTAGGTATTTTTACGAAAGTGCACATCCTCCTATGTCTCAGCTGGTTTGAGATGTCTTATCAACATTTCCAATGAAACACAGACAACTGACRGCTTTATCACTCTCTGTTTAGAGCTGAACACTCACACAGAAGTGCCGTTTGTTGATTCATCTATTCTGTTGACCAAAAGAAGGCTCTGACAGACAGCGAAAGTTAAGGGTGTGACCACAATATGAAGAAGTGCAAGTGTCTCAGCTGTAAAACAAGCTGTGCCAGAAACATTTCTGCCACTACAAAGCAAGTTGTTTCACAATATTGCAGCCACATCCCAACTGGTTCACACTGAAAGTAAAATCTAGTGATCCTAACAGCAACCTTGAACCTTTCCCCCAAAATACGATCCTTTAAAAAACAGTTCATGAGATCAAGGATAAAAAATGACATCAAATTCTTTAAACGTATTTTCATTTTTTTTCTGTCTGAGTTCCAGACAGTCATGAGGAAAACTAACGAGCTTAAAAATATACTCCTCATTTTATGAACAAAGTCTGTAGGAATGTCAGAATTCCACTTCAGCTGCCAAAAAAATAATTAAAAAATAAATAACATGAGAGTGCAGAAAASTACAGATGTACTTTTGTGTGTCAGCTTATTTGCAAACACTCATTTGTTTCCTCACGTTATTGCTACAAAAATGGACATACGAGTAGTTCTTGCACAGAACAAGCCAGCACTGAAAACTGGATTAGAAAAGCAGCTTTGCTGGTAAGAGTCATGGTATGAATATGTTGTCCATAGACTCTACTGGTTTATTGGTGTGTCGGTGGCAAAAGGAGCTTTGATAACCTCACCCTAACCTCCATTTTTCCTTTGTGCTTTCACACTCTTGTTTCACAAAGAAGCATTAAAGTGCTGTGTGAAAAGGGATGGTTTGCCTTTGAAAAGGGTTCTTATTCCAACGTGTGTGTGTGTGTGTGTGTGTGTGCGTGCGTGCGTGCGTGCGTGCGTGC